CAAAAAAACCCCTCAAAGCAAACCCAAAACCCACCTTATAAAGGAAGATTATTTTGTTTTACGTGAAGTATTTTTAGTTTCTCACTTTTTAGCCCTAAAGGAAGGCCTGATGTTTGAGACAAACCACTGAGCAGAGTATTAAATCAACTTACAAGAGCCTCCTTCCTGAGAATCATCCCCGTGGGACAGCCCAGAGAGCCCAGTTTCCCCTTCAGCTTCTTGGAGGGATTCAAAAGATGTTTGAAAGGTTTCAATCTTGTCCTTCAACGACCTGACATTCACATGTTTAAAAGGACTGATCTGCCAAAACAAAAATTAACCTCATCAGACTCTTTATTGCTTTGTATTTATCCTTTGAGATAAAAAAAAAGACAGAGAAGAACCGAGTCTTGTGTTTAATCTGCCTGCAGTTGTAGGTGGATGGTAAGAATAAGCAAAAAAAGGAACTTTATTGAGAAATATTTTAAGTTTTACTGCATTTTAATAATCTGTTCCTCTAAGCCATGCCCAGAATTTGCTTTCTGACAGCCTGGGATAGTTCAAGTTAACAACAAGTCTGATTGAACCAGTCACTCGTGCTCATATTGACTTCACTCACAACACTTTAATTACCCAAAAATCCAACTTGGAAAGTAAGACAAGTTAAAATACACCAGCAGGCTCAACGTGGAGAAGATTCCAGCCTCTAAACAAAACCTGGAATATCCCCTTAGCCTAAAGTCAAGTGGCCAAGGGAAGTCAGCAAAATCAGGTTCTCCCTCCTGCTGGATTCCTCCCAGGACTTGCCTCATCCTTGGTGGTTCTGGGGGGAACTAAAGTGCCCCAGGTGAGATTTGGGAAGGACTCTCACCTGTGTAAAAGCTTCTTTTTGCCTCTTGCTCCTCTGCTGGGCCAGGTACCTGATCAGGGAGTTGTTCTCCGGGGAGCCCCGTAAGCCGATGGTTGATCTGCGCCGAAACTTCAACGAGGTCGGAGAATTCCCTGCCAGGGGGGACAAGAGCAGAGGTTAAAAAAAAAAACCACAAAATAAGAACAAACCCAGAAAAAGCCAGGTGTTTTTTTTTAATACCTAAAGCTTCAAAATGCTACCTTTTTCCCCTTTTTTTAAGAGTGATTTCTGCTATTTATGGAGAGACCCGAAGTTATCTGCTCAGCTCAAGAAGTTTTCCTGAGCTAAAGCAAATGCAGTGCCCAAAAGCAAGTTAATATTTAACTGATTTATATACCATGTGAGGGGCTGGCTGGCTTTTAGTTTTTCAACTGCTAGGTAAGGAACTGTCCACAGGATTTGCAGAATTTGTCTTACAACTCCCTCGTGAAGCTCAGAGATAAAAAGGGAACATCTAATTATGTAGGATGCAGGATAAACCCTGGTTAAACGTGGTAATTATCTCATATATAAGATATCCTATATATTACATTATATGTGGGCATGCATATATGACATAGAAAAATATGTCATATAAATATATAGGTGATATAAATAAATATTATATAAATATCTAAGATATAGGATATTATAGCAACTCCTCTCAGAGTCTGCTACTTGAGCACATCCAAATGCTGTCAGACCACCTGAATCTGCCCTAAATTGGAGCTTTTGGGAAGAGCTTGGACTAGATGACCTCAAGATGCCTCTCTGGGCAGGACAACAGTCCTTACTCACTCCAGCCTCACCTTTACATCGTTTAGTGAAACTTTCTGGAGCAATCCCAAACTCAGTAATTGTCACAGTAGCAAAATCAACGTGTTTTTCCCTCAGTTCTTCAGATGCCCCCAAATCAGGTTTTCCTTCAGCTTTGTCCCTCTCAGGAGTGGAGTAGGAATCATTCCCCAAGGAACCAGGCCTGCTGCCTGGAAAATTCTCCTTCCTGTTCAAAGGCAAGGTGGGTTCACTGCCCACATCCCCTTGGAGGGCCCCACAACAGCTCCCAGGGAAGGGGCAGCTCCCGGGATCCCCCTCGGGGTGGGACAATTCCTCCTCCAGGCCTTTGGGGGATTTCAGGGCACGTTTGGGTGACCAGGCCTGGTTCCCATCGCTCAGATTCTCCTTCTTGGACGCTCTGATGACTCTGAATTTAGTCCCTTTGCAGATCTTCTGGTCTTCTGGTAGAGGGAAAGAGGCCTCATCTTTCTCTTCAAGACAACCACCCTCATTTTCTTTAACTTTCAGGGGACTCTTGGGTTGTCTGTGCATTGTTTGGGATTTATTTTAAGAAACATTCACTCAGCCTTCGCTCCTGTAATCACAGATTCCTATCAAAAAGAAAAAACAGATCATTATAGTTATTTCCTAAGAGCAAGAGTTCCCTACCATGCTAAAGCTGCTCCCACATTTTTCCCAAGCAAGGTGTTTTTCCAGTGTGATGGAAAGGAAAATTTATCTCCAGAGAGCTACAGGGAAAGGACACAAAGGGCTGGAACAGGAGAGAGGAATGCACAGCAATATAAGCAGTACAACAAACATAATACAAGCAACATAATAAACATAATATAAGCAATAAATGTACATGGGGAAGGGAACACAAGGCTGCGATTTCAATCTGTCAAACTTCATATCAGGGTAAAACCCATGCACAAAATACATTAATCACAACCACACTGTGACTGTTTTGCTCCAAGTGTTGCAACAAATGTCAGCAGTTTAATACTACTTTTTATAAGACTCATTAGTATCAGCAGAGAGAGAGAGAGAGAGAGAGAGAAGACAAGTCTTGAGAAGAAACCAGCAGAAGGAACAACAACAATAATACTTTTTTTTTTTTAATACCACTAAGTTTTAACTAGAAAACTTAAGAGACTAACTGGTTTGTTTGGGGTTTTTTTTGTTTGTATTTTTTTGTTTGTTTGTTTTTGTTAGTTTCTTGGATTTGAAGTAGACCATGTAGAACTCAATAACATCAGCCTGAAACTTCGGTTCTGCAAATACCTGCGTTCTCAGAAGCAAAATTAAGCCCGTAAACACCGCGTTGGCGATTAATTTTTTTTCCTTTTTTTTTTTTCCCTGCTTTAAGGCCACACTGGAGGCCAATGCACACAATCAGACACCACACCAGCCCGCGTGGGGGTCGAGCCCGCCCGTACCCCCCCAAGTCCCTCAGGGCTCGCCCCTCGTACCCCACACAGCGCATCCCTCCCACACCCCCCCAGCGCCGCTCGTAGCCCCTCAGACACCCCGCGATCCCTTCGTGCCGCCTCACCAGCGCTCCCCAGACCGCAGGACGACCCCCCAAACCCCTCAGGAGCCCTGACAGACCCCCCCAAACCCCTCAGGAGCCCTGACAGACCCCACCCGCACCCCTTCACGAACCCGCCTCACCCCGTCCCGCCTCACGTTCAAATGCCGCCGCACCGCCCCGCCACCGCGTATCCCTGCGCGACCCCGCCCCTTTCGCCCACCCACCCCTGACTCCCACCGAAAAGCCACCCCCGTTTCACGCAGCACCGGAGGAATTGCGATTCGCGGGACGCGACCTCCTGCGCCGCCGCGTCTCCCTCGAGGGGTCCGCAGGGCTCGGCGTGGACCGGGGGGGACTCTTTTGCTGGCGGAGGGATCACGGTCCGTTGAGTCGCAGCACCGCTTGAGGGAGGGGGGGAATAATGCATTCAATAAATTCATTCAACCGGCCGCGCCCACGTGACGCGTGGCGACCAATCACAGGCGCTAAGCCACGCTTTATGCAAATAAGGCTGCTTTGTCCCGCCTCTCCGGCGGGGGCGCGGCGGTGATTGGATAGGTTTGCTTGCAGCGCGGCGGTGATTGGCCGCGGGTCGTGTCAGTCATCGCGCGGCGCTTCCGGGTGTTGTGGCGGCCCCGGCGCGGCGGGCGCAGCATGAGGCGGGTGACGCTGTTCGTGAACGGCAGCGCCCGCAACGGCAAGGTCAGGCTTAAGGGGCACCGGACGGGGGGGTCCTGCATCGAGGGGAGCCGAAATCAGGGGGTCCGGGCCCCTCAGGGCGTGCCGGCCCGCGGGGGGTGCCGGCCATGCGCTCCGTTGGCTGCCAGGCCTGGTCCGCGCTGAGGGAGGGTCCTGAGGGAAACCCAAAGAGTTTAAGGCGGGAGTCGGTGTTAGAGACGCTCCGGGGCCTTGCTGAGTCGCGTCCCCTCAGTCGCAGCCTGCGGGAGTAGCGCTCTGGGGGTGGGGTGACCCTGTGTGGGGACCCCGGGAATAATGGCACTAAATTGTTTAAAACCTCTCTGGGGTCCTCTCAGGGGTGGAAAAAGTTGATTTCTGGACCCTGCCAGAAAGGCCCGGTGATGCGGTTCTAAATATAAGCCGTGATCTCGATGTTTCCACTCACACTGAGTGCAGGAGTTGATGTGACTGCACTTTAACGCTGTAGTTCTGTTAAATGTTATCCATAATCCATCCCATATTTCCCCATCCGCAGACCGTTACTGTGACTGTGCTTTTATGCTGTATTTCTATTAAATGTTATCCATAATCCTGATTTTTCCCAGCCACAGAGAGTTAATGTGACTGTAGTTCTATAAATGTTATCCACGATCCTGCTATTCCATCCACAGACAATTGACGTGACCGTTCTTTAACCCTGTATTTCTGGTAAATGCCATTCGTGATCCTGATTTTTCCACCCACTCTTCAAGTGCAGAAGTTACTGTGGCTGTATTTGAACCTTGCAGTTCTGAATGCTGGCCCTGATTTTTCCATCCATAGGTCTGGACTAAAACACTTAATGTGACTGTACTTTAGTGGTGTATTTCTATTAAATGTTATCCATGAGCCTGATTTTCCCATGCCCAGCTCTGAAGACACTTAATGTGACTGTACCTTCATTTTTTGCAGTTCTCAGTGTATCCATGGTCCTCCTTTTTCCATCCTGAGTGCAGACAATGTGACTGCAACTCAGTCTTTGGTTTTAGGGAGGGAACAGAAAAAACAGCAATATTTCTCTAGAGGAATAAAAATCTGAATCATCATATTCTTATTCAACGTTCCTTTCACTGCTGCTGGAGCTGTGCAAGTCACCCCATTTTTAGGCAGTTTTCTACCATCAGAGTTGGTCTGTTTGCTTGGTTTTTAGTCAAAATCCACATGTATTTTCCTCTCCCTGTGACATATGTTAGTATATAACATTTATTGGTATATAACATGTATTGATATATAAAATACTTTAAGATATATTGGGATGTAAGATATATCTCAATATAAGGTATATTGAGATAAAAGATATACTGGTATATAAGATATATTGCTATATAAGATATATTAAAATCTATTGCTATATAAGATATATTAATACAAGGTATATTGGTATAAGTTATATTGGTATGTAAATATATTAAGATATATTGGTATCTGAGAGATATTGGTAAATAAGAGATATTGATATACAAGATATATTGATATATAAGTTATATTGATATATAGGAGATATTGCTATATAGGAGATATTGGTAAATAGGAGATATTGGTATATAGGAGATATTGATATATAAGAGATATTGGTAAATAAGAGATATTGATATATAAGTTATATTGATATATAGGAGATATTGGTAAATAGGAGATATTGGTAAATAGGAGATATTGGTATATAGGAGATATTGGTAAATAAGAGATATTGGTAAATAAGAGATATTGATATATAAGTTATATTGATATATAAGAGATATTGGTAAATAAAAGATATTGATATATAAGGTATATTGATATATAAGAGATATTGATATATAAGTTATATTGATGCACAAGATACATTAAGGTATATTGATCTCTAAGATATATTGATCTCTAAGCCATCTTGATGTCCCTGAAGTGGCAGAACTACATGAGCCCAGTTCCCTGCAGTTGATTTTATCCCCCCCGTCTCCCCAGGTGGTGGCTGTGTATGGGACCCTCTCAGATTTGCTCTCTGTGGCCAGTAACAAGCTTGGAATCAAAGCCACCAGTGTTTACAATGGCAAAGGGGGACTCATCGATGACATTGCTCTGATCAGGTAAGGATTAGCCAAGAAAAGGCAAATTGGGGGGGGATTAAGAGAGCAGCCTGTTAATCCTCCTTAATCAATAACCAGATATTCTCATTTCCAGCCCAAGGGGCCTTTCATCCCTCCATTAAAAAATAATCCTGGCTTTTGAACTTCAGAGCATTTCTCTGTTGTTTAATCACAACTTGATCCAAACTGTGTTGGAGGCCTTTGAACCCCCCCATGCTGATTCCAGGGCAATGTGTTCACCAGGAAATCCCACTGTTCCACTCAGCCCTTGGATTTTTTTGAAGAGGAGACCAATCCTGTCATTGCTTTGGCATCACAGAATAGCCCCAGACTGGGGAGAAAAGCAACTATTTTGTAAAAATCAGTGACAGACATGGGCCCTACCTGGTCACTGCAGATAAACCCCTGGTGAAGTCAGTCCAGCCCAATCCACTGGAACCTGCAAAATTCAGATAAAAACCAGATCCTGAAGTTCCAGTTCCTGGCAACTGGTTATAATTCACCTGAAAGTGGCCAGGAGGGGTTTCCCTGTCAATGAGATGAACAAGAAATGATGATTAATCTTCTTTTTCTCCTCCTCTCTCAGGGATGATGATGTTTTGTTTGTCTGTGAAGGGGAGCCCTTCATTGGTAAGTCTATATAAAATACAGAAAAAAATATATAAACCCTTGTGTTTAACAGAAAGAGGTTTTGTTTTGCTTCCATATAAACCTAAGATTTTATTTGCTGCTGTTTTCAGAAGACACCATAGGGAATGGATTAAGAAATAGTCACAGTTTTCTAATAACTACTAATGTGTCATAATAACTTATTATAAGCATATCATATTAATGTTATATTAACTATATATTGTTAATTGTTATAAAAATTAGTATAAATAAAGAATTCCTAAGGTGTCTTTTAACCTGTAGATCCTCAGACTGATGGGAGAGCTCAGGAGGAGCTGACAGGGTCCCACACAGACTGGCTGACACTCAATGTGGGAGGCAGATACTTCACCACTACAAGGTAAAAATGCTTTTAGTCTCCAAAAAACTCGATTTCAATGCAGCAAAAGAGCTTGAAAAACAACTTATTATGAAACAGGAGGTCTTTGACTTCTGCAAGTTTGTGTTTTGTGGTCACCAGCAC